GTTTACGGTTTACGGTTTACGGTTTACGATTTAGGGTTTAGGGTTTAGGGTTTAGGGTTTAGGGTTTAGGGTTATAGGGTTTAGGGTTTAGGGTTTAAGGTTTAGGTTTTAGGGTTTAGGGTTTAGGGGTTAGGGGTTAGGGGTTAGGGCCCAGGGCCTGAGTGAAGGTGTTGCCGTTAAGAGTTTGCCCTGTTCGAACGGATGGTCCTGGCTCATGATGTTGCAGGTCCAAATGCATTCACACAGCCAAGCTTGCATGTGAATCAAATGGGCAGGCAACGCCACGGAAGAAGCAGCAGTTCTACTCCCTCTTCGACGGAACTAATGGTACTTCAGATGCATCATGAACACTTTGCAGCAACAAAGTCTGGGTAGTTCTCTAGATGAAGTTCCCATTTTTTGGGTCCCTATCCATTATGGCACCTGAAAACAAGGACTCCAAACCCATGTTGAGGCTTCGGGTTTGATTCGCGGTTGGGTTGCTTTACATGAAGAGCCCCATCCAAAGATTCTCACTGTCTGTCCCAGAGCCCAAAACCCAAACCCCAAAACCCTAAACCCTTTCATGCGGTTGGGCCAAGCTCAACCCAACACATCCTACGCCTTAAAGCCCTAGCACCCAAGAACCCCAATGACTACCACCCTAAGCCCTAAGCCCTTAACCGTAAACGCCCTAAAGCCCTAACACCCAAGAAGCCCAACCACCCTGAGCCCGCAGACCTACACCGAAAACCCTTCGTAGGGAAGCCGTCAAGCTCACCCTATAACCCGACGCAGGATTCGATGAGCTTTGGAGTTGTAACATTGTTTAGGATTTAGGGTTTAGGCTTTGGGGTTTAGGGTTTAGGGTTTGGGGTTTAGGGTTTAGGGTTTAGGGTTTGGGGCCTTTAGGTTTTGTGGTTGAGAGGGCTTAAGGGCTTTGTGGTTTCGGGTTTATGGCTAAGGGGTGAACTCAGTCTCCCATCAAACCTGTTGTTTTTTTCTGGTTTTGCAATCAACATGTTGACGCCTTAGAGACCCAAGAAGCCACTCTAGCTTTGGGGTTTGGGGTTTGGGCCCTGAACCCTAAACCCTAAGCCCTAAGCCCTAAGCCCTAAGCCCGAAGAAGCCAGGGCCCTTTTTCCACCTTGCTTTTTCCACCTTGCAGGGCACCTTCTTCCCTCGCTGGACCTTTACCGCCCTGGCGCTGACGAGCTGGGCCAGCCGGAGCGCTCAGGAGGCGGGGGGTTCAGGGGTTGAGGGGGCTGGGGGGTTTACGCAAACAGGCGAACCCGAATTTAGATCCCCAAAATAGTAGGATTCCTGTACAATAAGGACCCCAATAAGGTACTGTAACCCTAAACCCTAAACCCTAAACCCTAAACCCTAAACCCTAAACCCTAAACCCTAAACCCTAAACCCGAATTTAGGAAACCCCCGGTTAGGGATGAAGAAAGCACACAGTCGCCGTCCATTGTTTGCAGCTGCAGCCACATGGTCGCATTATCGCATGAGCTGCCATGTTCCACACTTCATGCATACAGGGTTTAGGGTTTAGGATTTAGGGTTTAGGGTTTAGGGTTTAGGGACTTTTTTACTTTCTTGGTGTTATGTTGACTACGCCGATGCCACAATGCGTCAAAGATGTCCTCCCCAACCAACCACTTGTCTTCGATTCTCTTGTGTTTGCAGCCAAGTCAACTCCCAGAATTTCTGGACTCGACCCTACACCCTGAACCCCCAAAACTTAAAACCCTGAACCCTAAACCCTAAACCCTAAACCCTAAACCCCCTAAGCCCAAATGAACAACCAGGAGGCCTCCCTGATCGCCTGCATCCAGATCGCATCTACAAGATTTTGGCACTCAATGGCTTCCAGGTGCACTGAGAATGGGGTCACCCTGTGTAGTACTTGGTGAATCCCTAAACCCTAAACCCTAAACCCTAAACCCTAAACCCTAAACCCTAAACCCTATAGGTGGATGGGAGAAGGATACATCTATGGAATCCTGGCCCTAAAGGACCCGGGAACAGCACGACCCCAGCCCGAACACACAGACTTAGGGTTGAGGGTTTAGGGTTTAGGGTTTAGGGCTTAAGTTACACTGCGAAGTCTAAGTGAGCCACAGGGTCTAGCAGGTAGAGGGTTTGGGCTTGGGATTGTTTCAGGCTTTGGGATTTGGGAAACAGCCTCGATTGGTTTTGGGTCCCCTGGAGCGACTGCTTGTCGGACCAGGCGGACAAATTTCACGCCGCCAGCGCGACCGATCCCGGTCGTGCAAGAGAGCTTCTGCACCTTTGGCCAAACCGTGTCCTAGTCCACCTTTGCGCCCAATCCCCAATCCCCAAACCCCAATCCCTAAACCCAGAAAGCCCCCCAAGTTCCCGTAGGGTTTAGGGTTTGGGGTTTCGGGTACTTTGGGTTCAGGATTAAGGGTTTAGGTTTCGGGGTTTGGGGGCTTGGGCTTTAGGATGTTGGCCTGACTCAGCTGCACCTGGACCTCACTTGGAGGTTCATGGTACTTTTTGACCAATTATAACTGTACTTATAACTGTACTTAGTACTTATCATCATATTGGGGCACTAAAAGGGCTCATAAGTGGGTTATAAGTACAGTTATAATTGGTTACTAAGTACCATGAACCTCCAAGCAGTACCCGGGGGTCGGGGCGCCTGTCTTGGCATCGAATGCCCAAGTAGCTGCATGTCGCCTACGCTGTCTTCTTTTGCGGCAGGCTCCAAGAGCAACAAACTGTTGCTGCATAAGCTGGGTGCTCATGCCGGTTTCCATCAGATTCCTCGCATGTTTGTGTGGATACGGTTTCGTGTTGGCAGATACGTTTTTGCAGTACAACGAAGACTCCCGAAAAGCGCAACCTGTGCAACTACATACATGCATATGATATACATATATACATAAGTGTACTGACTGTCCGGGGGGGGGGGGGGGGGTCACCGATTGAAAATTCGAGTGAAGCGCGTTTGCTTTTGTTCAACACGGGCTTGCAAGTTAAGGGGCTGCTGTCGGTTTACCAAGTGTTTGGCTGCACTGGCTTTGAAGGCACAGAATGAAGTACTTCAGCATATCACCCTAAACTCTAAACCCTAAACCCTAAACCCTAAACCCTAAACCCCAGACCCTTCCAGGGGTCCGTGGGCTCCCAAAGCCTGCGTGACTGAGGAAGCCCGGCGAGGAGGAGTCGGGTGGGGCAGTCTCCGGTCTTTGGGCAGTTCCTTCCCTGATGAACCATGCACCTGGACATGCATTAGGGGATTCGGGTTTAGAGTTTGTATGGTTTAGGGTTTGAGGTGTAGGGCTTCATGATCAGTAGTCGCTAAACCCCAAATCCGAATCTGGTTTTGTTGCGGAGCTCGAACTCCAAATTCCAGAGCTCCAAGATACCCCTTACGGAACGGTGGCACGGTTTATCGTATCGTCTTGTTTCGGGTGGGTCTCTCCAAGAGAGGAAGAATGCCTGTATCAGCTTCGTTGGCTTAGTTTGCAGTGTATTGTCCAGGCTTTGGGGTCCTCCTATAACACTCTTGCAAGCGACGCATTGCGACAGGGCCCCAGTGACATATGAAAATGAGCCAGTGATCATGGCACTCGAAACCCTCAACCCTCAACTCTATACCCTAAACCCTTAAACCCTAACCCCTAACCCCTAACCCCTAAACCCTACACCCTAAACCCTAAACCCCTAAACCCCTAAACCCCTAAACCCTAAACCCCTAAACCCTAAACCCTAAACCCTTAGCTCAGCTTTCCCTCAGAGGCCTGCGTGCCCTCCACACTGACCGTGCCGCTCAGCCGGGCAACGCTGGCCTTCGTGGCGGCGCCGCGGCTGCGCAGGGCTTAGGGATTGTTTCTTCGGGGTTTAGGGTTTAGGGTTTAGGGTTTAGGGGTTTAGGGTTCAGGGTTTAGGGTTTAGGGTTTAGGGTTTAGGGGGGTCAGGGCAATTGGAGTTTACTTAACCGTTAAGCTGCTGTAATCATGACCCCTGTTAGCCCTTCACGTGCACGGTCTTGGGGTTTAGGGAGCCACAAAATCCATACGTAGGGCCTCCGAGGTTTAGAGAATCATGGCGATTGACCACATCCTAAACCCTAAACCAGCCCGAAAAGCCCTACACATCCTATAGACCTTACAAGAGGCATCTGAACCCTGAAGCCTGAACCCTAAACCCTAAACCCTAACCCCACGTCCCAAAGCCTATTCCGCATCAGAGCCTATCGCTGCCCAGGCTCACCCAATCGAAGCGGGCGAGGAAATCACCTTCCGCTACTGCACTTGACCGGCATCATCTAAAGTAGTCGATTGCATAGGTTATATTGCCCCTCAAGGTCAACCTCGAGTTCTTTGAGGAAACTGAACAAGGAGGTACTAGGGCTAGAGTTTGGTATCTTAAACCTAGAGATACTTAGACTCGAGGGTTTGCGTGGGGGTTAGGGAGGGCCTTAGGCAGCCGAAAGAAGAACATCTTGGCAGCCCAGTGGTACCCTTTACCCTTTTTTTGTGGTTATGGGTTCCCTTATACAGTAACCAACCGAAAAAAGAGTGCCCTTATTGTAATGTGGTACTGGGCTGCTCAGATATTTGAGTTTCGGGCCTTAGAGCCTTAGGGCCGGGGCGTCATGTTTTGCGGCTCCATGTGAATGTCTAGCCAGGCACTGCAGGCGGTGGAGGCTAAGTGGTGTTTTTCCAGTTGCTTCGGATCTATGGTGTTGAAAAGTCTCTTTCCTTGAGGAATGAGGACATAATGTTTAAGGTTGGCAGGCTGGCCCATGAACCTTCATGGTTCTCAGAGCAGCACAGCGCTTATTATTCCGATTTTGGGTTTCATGTGTCCCAAGGTTCATACGATGGGGCAGACTGATTTGAGGCAGAACCTGCATGCGCTGTTTTTGGGGTATGGGTTCAGGTGTGGGCAAAGGTGATCATCCGCAGCTATTTCCAGCTGGGAAGGGAGTAGGGCCAGGAAGCACAGTGCACCGTCAGGCCCCCACACGCCCAGGGGCCATGCCGATGCGAGCCAAAGAAACTCTGCCCGGCTTCTTGCTGCTTCTACTACTGGCATCCCCGGCCTGCTCACAATCTTCGGAGGTCGCTCGCTGGAAAGGTGACCTGATTTCGGGGGGCTGTTTTTGGGAGAATGTAGAGCAGAGTAGGCGCCCAAAACTTACATCATACTTGCTTTAAGACTTTAAGTCAGATGATGTGCTGAAGCATAAGAAAACGAATGGGAGAGGCAGCCAAGCATCCTCTGCCCAATGTCCTGAGCTGCGCCATCTGAAACCCAACCTCAGTGTCTCCCAAGACCCCAAAATAGCCGAATGGATCGAAGCAGATCGCTTTTTGTAGATTTAAATTATCATGAAACTCAGGGTTTAGTCTTTTCGGGGCTATTTTGTCGGCAAACTCCAAGATCCTTTACTTCGGGAATCCCTACGGCAACTTAAGGCATGCGCCCTACTCAAGGAATACGTTGGGATGTTGCCCCTTATACTAACAGCCCTTAATGGTGGTTAGCATCCCGATTAGAATCCCAACTAAGGTCTGTTAGTGTCAGGGGGGGAACCTCCCAACCCTAAACCCTAAACCCTAGAACCCCCAAGGAATACGCTCGAAGCTCCCTTTGGAGGTCACTCGTGATTCGGTGACCTGCTCGCTCCACGAGTACCAGGACCTATTTCGACCCAGCCCCAGACCGCTTTGCGGTTGAGGAGGGTTTGGGGTTTGGGGTTTAGGGCTTAGGGTTTAGGGCTTCGTTTGTGCAAATAGGGTTTGGGTGATGCAGGGCAGTTCGCTAAGTTGTGCTGCTTCTTTGGGGCATCCTACAATGTATTTAGTGGTCCGTATCAGACTATGCAAGAGAAAAGGGACCCCCCCGAAATTTAGGAAGCCTACCATATGGGGCTTGAGGGTTTTTTGATTTAGGGTTCGCCAAGGCTTGCAGGTTTACGGGGTTCAGGGCCTTTGCGGCCTCAAACGCGTAAACCCTAAAGTCGAAACCCCAAACTCTCAAACCTTAAATCCTTACGCCCTACCTTGGGATGTTCCCCCTTATACTAGCAGTCCTAAAAAAGGGATGATAGCACCCCCCCACCTATAGTCCCCATGAAGGCGCTGCTAGTAGAAGGGGGAACATCCCTAAGCCCTAACTCTCGACGTCTGGCTGCTGTCCCAGGTCGCTCCGAAGTCCGGGACTTCCAGCAGCGGCTGGAGCAGGAACCAAGGGCTGAGGGTGTAATGTTTCGGGTTTAGGGTTTAGGGTTTAGGGTTAGTTTTGGGGTCCGAAAGCTAGTACGTCACCCTTATGAAAGGACCCCCCCCCCCCCCCCCCCCAAAGGGACCCGAATTTTGAGAACTACCCTAGTTCAAGGTTCAGGATGCAACTCGACCCTGACCCCCTTGAAGCCTCATGTCTTTGCATTTCCAGAACGCTCCGAAATTCAAAATCCCGAAGCCCTGAACCCACTCTAAACCCTAAACCCTAAACCCTATTTAAACCCTACACCCCAAACCCTGATCTGTTTCTGAAGGCTTGGTGGGCCAGTGGTGCCCTTTACCCTTTTTTGGTTACGGGTTCCCTTACAAAGAAACCAACCCGCAAAGAAGAATACGGTTACCGGGCTACCAAGAAGGGTTTTGCTCAGCAGCCAAGGAGGGAGCATCGGGACGGATTGACTTTTTTCTGGGAGGGTTGGCGCCTTCAGCAGTCAGGAAAGTGGCAGCTCGAATCATAGGCTTACACCAGGGTTTAGGGTTCAGGGTTTAGGGTTTAGGGTTCAGGGTTTGGGGTTCAGGGGTTTGGGGTTTGAAGTGGCTTCGTGAACCGTTCGGCCCCGATCCATTTTGAAGGGACTCATGAGTGTCCATGGCCCTCTGAGGCCTTCTGCAGGGGTCGTCCTTCTACATTGGTGCACCTGTTGGGTGCCGTATTGTATGATTAGGGGACACCAATGTAAAAATGGTACCCTACTTGAAAGAAATGCCCAAAGCTCGAAGCCTGAGCCCTAAAACCCAAGCGACTTCCTGCAACTCGAACTCCGCGACTGAAGCTTCAGAAGCCTAAACCCTAAACCCTAAACCCTAAACCCTAAACCCTAAACCCTAAACCCTAAACCCTAAACCCTAAACCCTAAACCCTAAACCCTAAACACGAGGAGCGGGCCGAGCTGCAAAGAGAACGGGAGGCCTTTAGTGTTTAGGGTCTAGGGCTTCCCCAAATAGCCCTAAACCCTAAACCTTTAACTAAGGAAACGTACCTTAAAGCATGTTAAGGATCCCTTGAAACCTTCAGGTACGTTTGCTTAGTTAAGGGGTATTGGGTAAGGATTTAGATGAGGGATGTCTTCGTCCGCATATGGCAGAAAAAGCTCGTGCATCTGGCAGAGGCAACATTCGAGCCAGATGCATTCAGGGCAGGATGTGATGCAACGTGATGGTGTCAGGAATGAAATGCATCCATCTGCAAGCAAGTATGCTAGTGTGCTGCAGAAGATCAGCATGATAGGGGCCGACTCCACGTTTAAGTTACCGCTTAAACGTCTAATGCGCGAGGGGATGTGGCGTGGCTTAGGGCTGTTTTCACTTCCCCACCGTCTGAGCACAACAGCACTGGCGTGGAAAACCCACGAAAGCTCTTGTTTCTGATCATCTGTAGCAAGCTGCAGCAATTGTTGGGGCTTCTGGTTCTTGGGGCTTTAAGGCATGACCCAAGGTATTCGGTCCAAGTCGCCGGACAGGGGCTCTCAGTCGTCGTGCCGGCCTAAACCCCTCCGAAACCCCCAAAAACGTTCACATGCCGTCGGCACTCCTCATGGCAGTAGTGGGAATTCCGAAGCCAAAGCTTGAACCACTCCCTCGTTCATGGTGTTTTCAGTTGTCGCCCCACCTTTTCCCCTAAACCCCAAACTAGGTATTTGCATACAATATGGGAAGAGGGAGAGATATGTATACATACGTAGACTGTGTGTATATCTACATATATATATATATATAGATATGCACATATATATATATATATATAACATACATATTTGATGTCTACATGTATGAATGTACGTGTACTTGTATATTTACACACGCATGTTCGCAAGTGTTCTGTGTGCATAGGCGCTGGAAGCCAAACTGCAGGAGGCGCGCAGCGTGAAGCTTCGACCGCAGATGGCGCTTCGGGGAACTTTCTGTTGAGCCTTGAGGGCTTCGGATTGAGGGATGGAGGGTTGTAGGGTTTTAGGGTTTAGGGTTTAGGGTTTAGGGTTTAGGGTTTAGGGTTTAGGGGTTTGCTGACATTTATAAGGTTTCTGTGCAATCCGAAGCTTTGAGCTTTGGAGTAGCTGTGCACGTGGACCAGGGTCTGAGGGTCGTCAATACGATGATCGCAAGCGGCTTAAAGTTCAGGGTTGCCGGGTTAGGATTTAGGGCTTTAGGGGGGAGTTTCGGCGGCGAGAAGCAAAGCGAAAATTCCTGACAGCCAGGAACTGCTTGTGTTCATGCCAGCACAGAAGCCTATGTTAACCTCATCGGCCCTGAGTATGGGCCCATTGTTTTGTAAACTTGATATACCCCAAAATCCCCCATAGAACCCAAGGGGCTCGTACTAGAACCCTGAGATGCTGAAGCCTTAAACCCGGAGCCAGCATTCCCTCGCCCCACAGCCTCCTTTACATGCCCTCAACCCAATGCCAACACTCCAGCCCTCCAGCCTTAACACCGCAAGCGCTGCCACTCTCTAACCCAAACCCGAACCACCATCTACACCCTGAGCCCGGCAGATTCGCCCCTTGGGTACTACAAGCTCCGAAGTCCCAACCCCAAAATCCAAAGCCCCCAAAACTTAAGCCCTAAGCATCAGGAAGTGCATCACCAGCAAGACCTAAAACCTACACCCTACAGTTACAAACCCTAAACCCCAAACCCTAAACTTGAACATAGCGCCCTAGAACGTGCCAAGGAACCGTCAGGAGGAGAAGCAGCGCGCGGAGCGGCTCAAGGAGCTCTGGCATCAAAGGGCACCTAGGAGGGTTTTTATGCAATTTAGGGCCATTGAGCGGTTAGGGTTTAGGGGTTTTGGCGATTCAGCGGCGAATTAATCATGGGGTTTAGGGGGTTGAGGGGTTTTGGGTTTGTATAGAGGTTGAGGGGCTTGGGGTTCAGGGGTTGAGGGGTTTAGTGCTTAGGGTGCAGTGAGGGGTTTCGGGGTTTACGGCTCCATGGTTGAGTGGTTCAGGGTTTGGGGTTTACGGTTTAGTTGTCGGGTCGACCGTTTTGATGTCCAGGGTCGACCGCTCAGGGTTTAACTTAAGGTTTCGGGCTTAAGGTTTAGGGCAGAGGTTTAGAGCCGATGTGTATTTTTCTGGTCAAGAGGTTTAGGATTTCATGTGTGAGGTTTAGGGCAGAGGGTTCAGGGATTGAGTTCTTTTTTTGGGTCTAGGGTCCGGATTTAAGGTTTCGGGCTTTGGGATTTGACAATTGTTTTTCGGGTTTAGGGCTTTAGGGCGCTTATGCTGGTTTTAAGAGTCTAGGGGTTTCAGAAATTTTGAGGTAGTTTCGAGCTTTACGGGTGCAGAGTTTGGGGGGATTTTAGTTAGGGCTGCAAAGGGTTTCGGGATTTGGGCAGCGAAGTCTCACAAGCCTGTCGGGAAGCTCATACGTGACGGCTTAGCTATAAGGACTCGTGTTTAGGGCTTGATTCAGCCTCGGGGTACATCCCTCAACACCCCAAGGGCCACTAACCTGCCAAGCCTCCCTTCCCGCCTCCCTTCCCGCCCCCTCCACTCGTCACCGAAAATCTCCTTTTCGGTTTGGAGGGAACGAGGACCCATGTGGAGTCCTTCTTGCCCTTGTGTAGGTTTCTGCTTTGTGAAAAGGGCACCCTGATCTGGCCTGAAGCCCCTGAACCCGCCAAACCCCCCAACAGCCTGCACCCTAATCCCTGAACCCCCAAGAAAGTGCATGTGCGTTGGTGGTTCTCTACCCTAAATCCTAAACCCTAAACCCTAAACCCTAAACCCCAAAACCCCAAACCCTAAACCCTAAACCCTAAAACCCTACGCCTGCTTTTGTACTTTGTTGGGTTGCGGGGAAGGTTCTGCCCCAGAACTGGCAGCTCCTGAAGCACCGTGCAGAAGGCACCGGGTCTCGGGTTCAATGTTTAGGGTTTAGGGGTTTAGGGTTTAGGGTTTAGGGTTTAGGGTTTAGGGTTTAGGGGTTAGGGTTTAGGGTTTCGGGTTTGACATTTGAGGCTTCGGTAAGGTCTGGGCTTTGGTAAGATTTGAGTTGAGGGTTGACTGTTTAGGCTTCAGGCTTTGAGGCTTGGAGGCTTTGAGGCTTGGAGGCTTGGATTTGATGCTTAGAGGCTTAGGTATGGTCAGGGCTTCGGTATTTAGGGTTTAGTGTTTAGGAGGCTTAGGAAAGTTTGGGGGTCTTCAGGCTTGTAATACATTCAAGTTTAGGGTATTTGAGTTCGGGGCAAAAGGGCTTAGGGTTTAGGATTTCGGGTTTGCTTTTTGGTGCACGGACGCACAAGCTTTGTAGGGTCGGCAGCATGGCGGGGTAACCTCCTCAACTCTCTTTCAGGTTTAGGGTTTAGGGTTCAGGGTTTAGGGTTTAGGGTTTAGGGCCACTCCCGCTCATTCAAGGTAGCTGGGTAATCCTGTTGGATTTTTCAGGTCAGAGCACCCTGGGATACAGACCTGAGAGGAGTCTGGCAAGCTGCTTGGCCTTTTGGGAGTTTAGGGTTTAGGGTTTCGGGTTTAGGGTTTAGGGTTTAGGGTGGTGTTGCGGTTTCGGCTTGCATGGCATGTAGGGTGTGGGTTTTGGGGTTTAGGTTTTCGGGTTTAGGGTTTGGGGTTTGGGGTTGCAACCCTGATATGTATTGGTAGGCTTGTTCCACGCTCTCGTGCGCAGATTCTGTGTCAGGGTAGTCAGGGTGGGCCCCTTTACGGTCTCACCTGAGTTACAGATCCTGGCACGCCCACTTGGGTATTGCCCACTCAAAGGAACGCCACGCCTGTTATGTTTTATGTTTGATCAAGGGTTGAGTACTTGATGCTTCTGCAGTATGTTGCAGCCCTTGATGTTTTCGAAGGCGCTGCCCCACTTCTCCCTGGGACTCCTACTTGGAGGTTCAGGGTACCTATATCCCCAGTTATATCTGCACTTACAAGCCCCCTTTAGTCCTCTCAGTAGGTTTTAAGTGGACTCATAATTGGGGTTAGAAGTACCCATGAACCTCCAAGTACCGCCCCGGATTTTAGGTGGTGGAATTGGAGGTTTAGGACCCCTAAACCCTAAACCCTAAACCCTAAACCCTAGGGGTTCAGGTGAGTGAGCACCGCTCAGGCTACAACTTCACTCTCGAGTTCCGTGTGATGGAAGACGAATGGACTGCTCCTCGGCCGAGACGACGAGGCATTGCGGTGGCCCCAACACCCTAAAGTTCTAGAGCCCTGAACCCTGAAACCCTTAAACCTGATCCCTGAAAACCTAAAAATCCCTGAGCCCTTAGCCCTGAAACCCTTGCACCTCAACCCGACAGGGCATGACCAAACGCAAACCCCTAAACCTGTGATATAGCCCTGTTGCCTTGGAGTCGGCCCATTTCCTGCTAAGCCTGCACCCCCCAAAACCGACCCCAAACCCTCTGTCAGAGGTTTGGGGTTTAGGGATTGCGGTGTTTAGGGCCCCACCTTCCCAAAACCCTGATAAATCCCCAAACACTGAACCCTGAAACGCCTAGACCCCGATTAGTTCGCCTCTCTTAGCGCCAAGGCTATCCGCTTGATCGATGCCCAGACCATCGTCACAGACTTTCGGCTCATGTGGGGTTCAGGGTCTAGGGTCTGGAGTTCACTTTTTCGGGTACATTTCTTTGCATATACACACATGTACAAATATCTGCATATAGATATATGTGTGTAAAGAAATATATATATATATATATATATATATGTATACAAAAAATGTTGATGTTGGTTCTGCCTGTGTACTTGTCGTGCATCGGTTTAAGGTGTATGTATGAATGTTTGTATGTATGTATATCTATATATATATATCTATATCTATATCCATATCCATATATATATATATACATAGCTAGCTAGCAGTCCGTATGTGCTGTGTCTGTGCCAGTATACACAATTGTATGCACACATTAATACAGAACACCGACATAAACTGCAATGTATCATGCATATATATATGTATATATAATGTATGTATGTATGTATGTATGTATGTATGTATGTATGCATGTATGTATGCATGTATGTATGTATGTATGTATGTATGTGTATACATATATAATTCTGCAAACAACTTTCAACATGTTTTGTAAGGCATGTCGTATGCATTGTACACTATACAATGAATGCACGCCTTGTCTGTGAATACATGTAAGTACAAGCTATGCTATATAGTACATACATAGTATGCATATATATATATACAAACATACGTATACTAGACTACAATGTAGCATTCGTATTTGTATCAGTATTTACCTTATTTTCATTACAACTTAGCTATTGTATTATGTTTTATACTACATACCAACCCAAGAGGTCTCACGGACTCATGAGACTGACCAAGGCACCCCAACATAATCATCACACCCTCAAGCCTCAAGCCTCAAACCCCCAACCCTCCCACCCCCCACCCCCTATGTCCCCTCCCCCCACCCCCCCGCCTCCTCCCCCAGATTTATGTAAAACAAAAACAAAAGAAACGCTAAAAAAGGACTGGTCCATCCTCCGCCGGCCCGCCTCAAACCCTGAGGTTGACCTGTCAGTTCTCCAGGGGGTTTTAAGGTTTTCGGGTTTGAGGGTTTAGGGTTTGGGGTTTTAGGGAAGGGTGTTTAGGGTTTAGGGCTTAGGTTTGTTGAGTTTAAGGTTTAAGGTTTTGGGTTCCTGAATTTCAGGTTCAGGGTGTAGGGTTTGACCTCAGGGCTTGTTAGGGCTTGTTGGGTTGGGGGGTTGTAGGGTACAGGTTACAGGTTTTGAAGGGCTGTAGGGCGTTTGCGGTTTTGCTGGCCCACTCTTCGCGGGCGCCCCTTGCCTTGCGTCTGCGGGGTTTCGGGGTTTCGCCCTTGTACGGGTATTGATCTTTGAAGCGGGCGGGGCGGGGGGGAGGGCCTAAACCCTAAACCCCTAAACCCTGGGCTCATGCGGTTGAGGGCTTCGAGCTCCTCAAGCCCTAAAGCCTTCACCATCCGCTCGTACATGCTCGACCCCTATACTTAGAGGCCTCAACCCCTAAGCCCCTGTCCCCCCCCTGAAAAACCGGTTCCAGGAAGCCGTTGAGGTGCAAAATCCTTGCAACCCTATCAGCTTCGCTTTAGGGGGCTCTTCGAGGCTCCTCAATTGCGCTTGGCAAAAAAGTGCTAGGGCTTCCTATTCGACATGAAACCACGGGGTCCTGTTTTCAGTTGAAGTGCGACTTCCTGCATTCACTTCGGGCCCACCATGAGCCCTTATAAACCATACACAAACCCAACATAAACTCTACATAAACCCTACACAAACCCTATGTAAACCCTATATAAACCCTACATAAATCCTATGTAAACCCTATGTAAACCCTACATAAACCCTACATAAACCCTGCATAAACCCTGCATAAACCCCATGTAAACCCTACATAAACCCTATGTCAGCCCTACATAAACCCTACATAAGCCCTGCAATATTTGTAAACCCTATAAAAACCCTATAGTTATAGAGGCCGAGTTTACCGCTGTCGACCTGGGCATGGAGACGTTCTTGGCCCTGAGAGACAGGGAGGCCCCGACCGACCACTATCGGGTAGTAGAGGGTTTAGGGTTCAGGGTTTAGGGATGTAGGTTCTATATACGGCTCTATATAGAAATCCTAGCAATTTTGGGGTTCGTTTCTTTATGCAAGTAGCCACCCCCCCCCCCCCCCCCACCCCAAAAACATGAATTCCTGTGCTACCAAGAACCTCAACCCTGAGTGCGTCTTAGTACCCATCATCCCAACTCCGAAGAGGTGACTTCCGACTTCGAGACGTGGCAAGACCACACGCTGATCACCAACGTGTCCGGAGTGTACAGGACGGGTTGGGGGCTGAGGGCTTACGGTTTAGGGAGTTCAGGGTTTAAGGGTCCCAAAGAGTGGGGTGGGGGCGGGGGTGCTTAGGTGGTGCTTTGAGATTGGGTGATTTTGGCCCGAACCCTTAGCGGGGTTGCTGTGCTTGTTCAAAATTTGCCACCAGAAAAACAAATAGAGCCACCTACGCCTTCCGGGTCCTTTGTAGCCGCACATAAATGCTAAGTTTAGAAGGTTAGGGTGGGGTTAGGGTTTACGGTTGTTCAGGGTCTCTGGGGTTTAGGGTTTCGGGCTAAGGGTTTGCCCTAGGACTGTTAAGCAATTGTCGGCTGACATTTTCGCACTCGAAGCCAAGTCCCCTTATGTTTAGGGTTTAGGGTTTAGGGTTTAGGGTTTAGGGTTTAGGGTTTAGGGTTTAGGGTTTAGCATTGTTGGCTTACTTTAGGTCTTACCTGCAATCCTCCTGTCCTATCCTACAAACTGGCCTCCAAACGCGAAGCCCTACACCCTAAACCCCGGGCCCAAGAAAGCCCCTAGATCGTGGAACCCCTTACTTCTAACCCAAACCTGAAACCCCTAACCCTAAACCCTACACCCTAAACCCTACACCCTAAACCCTAAACCCTGAACCCCCAACCCCCAAGGCCCTAATCAGTTTCACGTTGCATCGGAGGATTACCTTCCAAGCGCAGGCACAAGTCCGCACCAACCGCCACCTTCACACGCTTCAGTTCCATGGCAGTTTAGGGTTCAGGCTTTAGGGGTTTAGGGTTTAGGGTTTAAGGTTTCGGGTTTGGGGTTTAGGTTTAGGGTTTGGGGTTTAGGGTTTAGGGTTTAGGGTTTAGGGTTTAGGGTTTAGGTTTAGGGGCTCAGAGTCTGTTGACTTTTTGTTGTAAGGGTTTAGGGGTGGGGGCTTTCCAAGTATATTCCCCTAGGGTGAGCCTGAAAACACCACCAACACCTTATGCAAAAGTGATCTGTGGTTCAAACAAGTTGAAAGAGAGCTCTTAGATCTTTTGGGGATGGGGTTTTAGACCTTGTTGGTCCGGACGAAGGGTGTAGGGTTTTAGGGACATGCTGCAGAGAGCCCGGACGACAACTCAAAATCAGTAGGTTGTGCATGGCATCGTATCAGGACATGTTGAGCACGCAGTTGCCATCACACCACGGAACCCTAAACCCTAAGCCCTAGAACTATGTCCTGTGCCTTGCGCCTCACGCCCCGAACCCACACCCTAAAGCTTACGAGCCATATGTCTCCCCCAAACATACCAAGAGCCCTACGAAGAGCCCCATAAACCGTGCTAGCTCTATGAGAAGCCGAGAACGCGAAGTAGCATATGAATCCCTCTCCAAACGAGCTACCCTTGTTTCTTCTAGGCTTCCGCATGCTGTCCACGGGTAAACCTTACCATCCCTAAACCCTGAGCCCTACAACCTAAACCCTAAACCCTAAACCCTAAACCCTAAACCCTAAACCCTAAACCCTAAACCCTGTCTTGGGGTCAAGGCTCAACTTGCTGTACCCCATCACCGACTCATGGCCTGCATCTGTGTATTCACGGGTGTACAGAGCTTAGGGTTTAGGGTGTACAGAGCTTAGGGTTTAGGGTTTAGGGTTTAGGGTTTGGGGTTTGGGGTTTCGGGGTTTAGGGTTTCGGGGTTTCGGGGTTTCGGGGTTTCGGGTTTTCGGGGTTAGGGTTTAGGGTTCAGGGTTTAGGGCTCAAGGTTTAGGGTTGAGGTTTTAGGAAGCTTTTGGGCTCGAGCTTGGCGATCTCCGGGCAGCAGGGACTAGCCCTGCACCCTTGTGCATATTTTTTGTGAGAGGGCCCCACAACCTCTCACTATGTAGGTCGCTAGGAACCCAGTACATAAGCACTCGGAAGTATAACCCTAAACCTTAAACCCTAAACCCCAAACCCTAAACCCTAAACCCTAAGCCCTAAACCCTACCTAAACCCCACGCTGAAAGGAGACGCGGCTCCGCCTCCTTCACGAAGGCTCGGCGCACATGAGGGAGCTCTCCGTCGAGCCGCACGCGCACTGGCAGACGGACCAGGTCTCGCTCATCTGTTGCTGGGGATGGGTGGCTGCCCTAAAAGCCTAAAAACCCTAAAACGCATTTAAAAAAAAACAAAACGCCCCAAATGACCTGAAACACCTTAAAACAATGAACGCCCTAGAAACCCTACCCTAGGAGGTGGGGGGGGGGGGGGGGGGGGGGGGGGCCGATGGTCTTCGGTCCATGCAAGCTTCCCTTAGTCTTGCAGCAGAGGCCTTTCCTGAGTGCTATGGTACGACCCCCGTTAAACCCCAACAAAAGCCCATCGCCTGAAAATCTCTTAAACTCCAAAACTACGGATTTTTGGGGTTTAGGGTTTAGGGTTTAGAGTTTAGAGTTTAGGGACGTTTGACCCCTAACATGAGTCAAGTGATACTGCCTTAGCCAAGGGGTGCTGGAGTTTCTGGGAGTCCTAAACCCCAAGCAAGCATGCCAATGCCAAAAAACCCTGAAGCCCAAAACAAAGACCTTACGGCTTATGGCAGGGGCAAAACTACACGGACATCCACCTACATCTGCCAAGTACACAGACGCTGACTGTGCTGCTTACCTGCACTTTTTTTCTGACTTGAAGGCGCTGCTGGCTTCAAAGAGCAGTGTAGTCACGCAGTGCATTATAAGGGCTTTTGAGGTATTAATGTCTTTCGGGTTTGGGGTTCTCAGCCACAAGAACCATGGCCCGCTTAGGAAGTGGCGTGTGGAACGTGGAGCCGAGATGCCTACGGATGCGGAAGCGCCCGATGGAAAAGCTGCATCCGGAGGTGCGCAATACGATTCGTTTAAGGTTCCTTAGGGTTTGCAGGAGTTCGGGGGCAGCAGGTTCAGATTTCATAGGCTCGCGGTCGTACTGCCGTTTTCCTGCACTTTCTGCATGCACACCTTGCCGCGGCTACGTGCACTTCTGAGGCGTGGTGATCTCGTGATACATGGCCTTCAGCTGCTCACACAGCTCACCCTCAACGCCGAACCCCGCAACCTGAATCCTGAGCCCTAAGCTCAAAACCTCAAACCCTAAACCCTAAACCCTGAACCCTGAACCCTTAGCCCTGAACCCTAAACCCTAAACCCTAAACCCTAACATGACTCGACTTGGTCAGGTGCACCTGACGCTGACGAGGGGCAGGTTCAGGCTACTGTCATACATGACACCCTCCACTCCGTTGACGAGAGCGTCCTACACAGCCTCCACTCATTCAAGTATCTCCTAGACTCGGAGTCTAGGCGTCACTTTCCATCTTTCCTTGTAAATTCTTTGTAGGTTTCAGGGCTTTTGGCTTGGTGGGGTTTATAGGGTACATTTTCGGCTTAGGGCTGCGCAAGGGCACGGTCACTACTAGGAGTCTGGGCCCCCCAGGACGTTTTGGGAAGATTTATGTCGAGACCCTAAACCCTAAACCCTAAACCCTAAACCCTAAACCCTAAACCCTAAACCCTAAACCCTTTTAAACCATGGAGCTGAGGAGCAGTCCCTGAACAAGATCGAGATCCACTTCCCGGGGAAGGCTGGGAGTTCCTCTACTGCCCCGAAACCCCTGCTAGGGTTTAGGGTTTAGGGTTTAGGGTTTAGGGTTTAGGGTTTAGGGTTCAGGGTTTAGGGTTTAGGGTTTAGGGGTTAGGGGTTACGGGTTAGGGTTTAGGGTTTCTAGTAGTTGCTTAAGAACCCCAAAAGAATAAAATAACAATAATCCCTATATTACCCTGAATAAGGAAGACTAGTTTTTTTTTTCACATTTTTTTTTGGGGGGGGGGTTCTTAAGCAATTCGTAGACCCGAAACCCTAAATTTAGGGTTTGGGGTTTGGGGTCTGGGGTTTAAAGGTTTAATTTAAGGGTCCATGTAGGTCCATGTACCTCATTATCATATACTTGGGCCCCAAGTCCCTACATAGGAAGGACGTTAAGGCCCAAGTCTTCCCTACTTAGGTACATGGACCCTCAGGGAAAGAAGGGACCATCATGAGTTACATAACTAGCTATGTGGAGTTTAAGACTACCTCCAGTGGCGTGTGTCAAGCATTTCTAGTCCCTAAACCCTGAACCCTAAACCCCAAACCCCAAGCCCCAAGCCCCAAACCCCAAACCCCAAACCTCAAACCCCAAACCCCAAACCTTACATATCCCCGAGGCTATGAAGCCTAAGCCCTAATCCCTAAAGCTTAAACCTCCCTTGGTCCCTTTAGCTGGGTAGTTCCTTGTAGGGAATTTGGGAGTCTGGGTCCGTACGGAGATACGAGGTCTTGTACCTGTTGCCCTAAACTCTAAACCCTACACCCTCAACCGGCAGAGTAGAGGCGCGCATCTCGAGCGTCGTCGCGCACGGCATGACGAACTGGAAGACGGCTGCTTGGCGAGCAGAAGACGGCGCTAGGCCTAGGGGTTAGGTTTTGGAGCACCATCCAAAGCTGTCCTAAATGTCTTTAGAACCCAACCCAACCCATGTAAATGCTTGGTGACGTGTTTCAATCTTGTAGAAATTGACTGGCAAGCTCGACTCAGCGGCTTACTTCAACGTGCTTTCTGACCCTGAACCCCTCAACCCTTGGAAGAAGCTCCGGACATCCCCGAGCCCGATTCTGACTTAGGGAGTTTGTGAGGAAACGTCGAGATCCCTCAGCCCTAAGAATGCTAGGCCACTCCGAGCCCATAAGCCCTCAAGCCCTCAAACCCTCAAACCCTTAGCCCCTTAAACCCCTAAACCCTTTCCACCCTAAACCTCTAAACCCTAACCCCTACCCCCTAACCATACCCTCTAAGCCCTAAGCCCTAAGCCCTAAGCCCTAAACCTCAAGCCCTGAACCCTGAACCCCAAACCCTAAACCCTAAACCCCAAACCCTAACCCTGAACCCCAAACCCTAAACCCTAAACCTTAAGCCAGCACAGGTTCCCCTGGGCAACGCCTCGAAAGCTGAGGGCAGTGCGGTGCAGGTGTCCTTCAAGAGCTCCGCCATCTCCAAGGCATGAAAGGGTTTAGTTTGAGTTTCAGGGGCTTGGAGTCATGTAGTTCTAGGCCCCCTCCCAAGTCTTCCTGGGTGGCCGCTTGTGGGTTTATAAGGGTTTAGGGTTTAGGGTTTAGGATGATCTCGGTATGTTTGGGATGAGGGTGAATTCGGGGCACATTCCTGCACCGTACAAGCCACCCACAAGTGCAAGGGTTGAGGGTTTCAGTAGCAGGGTGTCCTAAACCCTAAGTATGGAGATAAGTGTAGAAATTATACGGCGTAAAGCTTGCATTCCACACGCTGCAACCGACAAGGTCCATGATGAGGGAGTCTGAAAAAGGCGGTCGTCTCTGTCTAGGGTTTAGGGCTTATGGTTTCGGATTTGGGTTTTCGGCTTTTCAAGCACAAGGCTCCGTATTTAGAGAGTTTCCTGTAAATAGCCAGATCCCTATATGATTGAAGGAATATGCCTTAAGGCTCGGAACTTAGATCAGGAGGTCGTGGTCCTTGTGACGACAGAGCTGGACTTCAACGTTTCGCAGGACCGGCCCAGGATAAGGGCAACACAGGTTTTCGAAGTCCACTCTGCAAGTCTGCAGGGCTCCTTGCAGAAGAGTTCGTTCGTGATTTTCATGGTCCCTCCTCTGCTACATAGGTTTTCAGCACGCTCTTTCAGCCCATGGGCTTCTAGCTGCTTACCCTAAACCCCAAACCCCAAACCCTAAACCGTACACCCTAAACCCTAAAGCCCAAACCCTAAAGCCCTCTAAAGCCCTGCAAGGAGCAGGTCAAAGTGCCAACGGCGGTTTGCCAGCATGTCCTGCGCCAGTCCGGGACCTTCGGTCGCTTGGTCCCTTAAAAGGTTGGGCTCGTTGTTTGGTTTAGGGTACATGTAGGGTACAGGGTTCAGGGTTCAGGGTTCAGGGTTGAGGGTTGAGGGTTGAGGGTTGATTTAGGGTTCAGTAGGTTTAGTAAAGGTTCAGTAGGTTTGTGTTTAGGGTCTTGGGGTCAGGGTTCAGCAGGTTAGGTCTGGGGTTTAATAGGTTTCGCGTTTAGGGTTTAGGGGTTTGGGAGTTCGGGGCTTATTGAAATTCAGAGCCAGGGTGCCCTGCAGAGTGGGGTTTAGGGGCTTAGGAGTTTGGAGCTCGGAGTTTAGGGTTCGGGTGAAGATGCCCGGCCCGGTACGTAATGTCAGGTTTTAGGATTGCAGGGAGTTCAAAGTGCGGCCCAAGACCGAACGGTCAGGCAGCATCGGTTTAGGGTTTAGGGTTTAGTTTAGGGTTGGGATGTTCCCCCTCATACTAACAGTCCTTAATCGGGATTAGTGTACCCCCTTAGTAGGGATTACAGTACCCCCCCCCCCCTACTAGAATCCCTATTAAGGGCCGTTAGTATATGGGGGAACATTCCCAAGTTTAGGGTTGTGAAGGACCTCTGGCCCGAGATACTAAACCCTGTCAGCCTCGGCCTCTGCAGGGATCGTGAAGCTGGCCAACGTCGAGGTGCACCAGAAGCTCGGACGCCATTGTTTTTTTTTGAAAAGGGTGCTCCAAGTGTACCCGGAACCCCGACACGCTAAACCCTAAACCCCGAACCCTAAACCCTAAACCCTAAACCCCAAACCCCAAACCCCAAACCCTGAACCCTGAACCCTAAACCCTAAACCCTAAACCCTAAACCCTAAAGCTTGATTAAACCCTAAACCCTGAACAGCCCTAAACCCTGAACAGCCCTAACCCTAAACCCAACTGGGGCACCCAGGAAAGCATCCACTGGTGCCGTGCGCATGGGCGTCGAGCAGGCGCTTCCGGGATGTTTAGGGTTTCGGGTTTAGGTTTAGGGTTTACGGTTTAGGGTTTAGGGTTCAGAGTTTAGGGTTTAGGGTTTAGGGTTTAGGGTTTAGGGTTTAGGGTTTCAGCAGCTCTGGTGACGCTGAGAGTTGTGGCATTCAGGGCTCCACGTTCCGACCTTAGGGAACCCCATAAACCCCCCGCCCCCTTTCCGGGTGGCAACTGGGACCTTGAAATGCGGGGTATAGGGTTTGGGCTTTAAGGGGATTGGGGTGCATACCCCAAACCCAAAACCCTAGAATCCTAAATCCTGAGCTCTAATCTAAACCCAAAACCCTAAATCCTAAACCCTAAACCCTAGTCTAAACCGTGAGTCTCGAGTCTCGAGTCTCGAGAGGTGCCTACGCACTTGTCGAGCAAAGCTGGCCGGCCCATCGTCTTGGCCTATAAGCAGCTCGACCAGAGAGCCGTGGGTTGGGAAAGGGGGAGGGGGGGAGGGTTTAGGGTTCAGGGTATAGGGTTGAGGGTGTAGGGTTTAGGGTTCAGGGTATAGGGTTGAGGGATTAGGGTTTAGGGACTGCACGCCGTCTTGTGCTGTAATCTGCTTGTCAGGCTTCTGGCCAAACTAGGGGGCGAGGTTCTGCTGGTGATCTGATGTTGCCTTAACACACACACACACACACTCTCTCTCTCTCTCTCTCTCTCTCTCTCTCTCTCTTTGTCTGTATCTGATGGGTAATACATGTATGTATACACCACATACACACGCCATGTATATCTACAAACGTATATATATATATATATATACACAGGTATGTACGTTTTTACAAGATATATGTATACAGTTTTTTTTTCAAAAAATATATATTTTTTATACATATCTCATTTACATTTACTTCTATATACACACATGTGTGTGTGCGTAGAATCATTGAGGTTCCTTGCGCCGATCCACGAAGTCCTGCTCTCCGCCACATGGCAGCGTCGGAGTCGGGCTGGTCACGGGACCTTCTGGGTTGAGGGTGTAGGGTTCGGGGTTTAGGGTTTGGGGTTTAGGGTTTGGGGTTTAGCGTTTGGGATTTGGGGCTTGGTGTTCGAGGGTGAGGATTTAGGGTTTAGGGTTTATGGTTCAGGGTTTAGGGTTTAGGGTTCTCCTAAACTCCTACACCCTATACCCTGAATCCTTGACAGCCAAACAAGGGCCAAAAAACCCACAATGAAAACCTGAAGCGCCAAACTCGACTCCAAACCCTAAAGCCCTAAGCCCTAAACCCTAAACCCTAAACCCTAAACCCTAAACCCTAAACCCTAAACCCTAAACCCTAAACCCTAAACCCTAACCCCCGAGATCCCATCAGGTGATCCACCACCAGGAGCTCCCCACCCTGGAGGCCCTGGCGGACGCGGTTCTCTACAAGACCCTGGTGGCCACTGGGTGTAGGGTTTAGGGTTTAGGGCCGTTGAGGGTTCAGGGCTTAGGATTTATGATTTACGGTTTAGGGTTTAAGGAATATGGTTTAGAGCTTAGGCTTTAGGGTTTAGGGCTCAAGGTTTAGGGTTTAGGGTTTAGGGTTTAGGGTTTAGGACGAGTCGTACCTTGGGTCTTCACGAACACTTGAATTGAGGAATTTTGCGTACATCAGATTTCAGCAATGTTTCTTATCAAGAGGTTGAAACGGGCAGGCCCTGGTATGTCGTCATGGCGTGTTTAGGTGTATAGATTCTGGGCAAGTCTGTGAGAAGTTTGCAGCTTGAACCCGGAAAAAACCCGTAAAACCTCAAATCCTTACAGCCCTAAATCCCTAAAGCCCTCGAAGCCCTAAAGCCCTTCACCCTAAAACCCTGAAACCCTAAACCCTGAAACCCTGAAACCCTAAAACCCGAAACCCCCGAAACCATGTAACCCTAAAGCCCCAAAGCCCCCAAACTCCAACCCCTAAATCCTTCAACCCCTAAACTCCAACCCCTAAACCCTTCAACCCTTAACTCCTAGAGCCCGGACCCTAGTTGAAAGCCTAGGCCTAGACTTTCCTCAGGTCATCTTTAGGGTTCAAGGGTTGCGGTTTTAGGGTTTAGGGTTTAGGGTTTAGGGTTTAGGGTTTAGGGTTTAGGGTTTAGGGTTTAGGGTTTAGGGTTTAGGGCTTAGACGGCGAACACCTCGCGCCCATTCTCCTCAGTGCTTCTCGCCGCGTTGTACCACGGTGTATCCCCGAACTCGGAACCCCACAACCCTGCAGCCTCAGCTCAAAAATTCTATGAACCCTGAACCCCTACACCCGAAGCCTGAGTCCTAAACCCCTTAATTCGATCAGTGTCAGGGATCCTTTTTACCTTTTTGGGTTATGGGCTTTCTTATATATGAACAAAAAGGATCCTTTTTTCTTCCTAGGGGAACAGGGATTAAGTTAACGCCTTAAAGCTCACAGGTAATTAAACTAGTACGGACCCCCGTCGTTGGCCCTTGGCCTTTCTGGGGGTCGGAACAGTGATTCCCTTCGGTCCCTACAATAAACATGCTACAATGGTTCTCAAGACCCTATTCGAACTATTAACGCCCCGACATGATAATACTTGTTGTTTCAGAAGGCTCGCTGCTCAGGTCGACAACCAGATCATGCACAGCATGCTTCTGACGCTCCAGAACACCCAGAGGCAGTACATGGAGATACGAGGACCTTTGCAGCTGATGCCTATCATGTTCTCTTAATGCATGTTTTCCATCCGGCAAGAGCAGTACCTGCCAGACTTCTTAAGTCTATCTCTGCAGCATACAAGTCTGGCACTGGATATTTATTTGTGCTTTTTTGTCGCTTGTCTGCCTTCCTTGCTTTCGAGTCGCAGCTCGCGCAGGAGTCCCCCAAGAGGCCATGATTTGGACAACCCGAGTTCCTTAGCTGACCTGCTGCGGCCGGGGGGGGGGGGGGGGCTCAGTGCTCATGGTGCACTGTCACCATTTTTGTTCAGTAGCTTTGGGTTCACAGCTAGGGTCTCGAGTTTCCCTGTATCCGTACACACCCTATCCCTAAACTCTCTTAAATGCTAAAAGCTCAACCCTGACCCTATGTACGTGCTTCAAACTTACCTGCAAGAAACCCTCAAAGCCCTGCTAATGAGTAGGAGCTGAGCCCCTATTCACAAAAGCCCTAGGATCCCCAGTGGCATCATCGTTCCTTTTTTTCCGGGGGTTTTGTTGCCGCATATATATATATATATAATATATATCTGTATATATATATATATGATTCAGCCCCGGCGGGCCCCCCCCCCCTCCCCCCTACCCCCCCCCCCCCCCCCCCCCCCAATGGTACCCCCCCCCCCCCCTGTGGTGTGGTTGGGGGTTGGTTTTAGGGTTTTAGGGTTTAGGGTTTAGGGTTTAGGGTTTAGGGTTTTAGGGTTTTAGGGTTTTAGGGTTTAGGGTTTAGGGTTTACGGTTTAGGGTTTTAGGGTTTAGGGTTTAGGGTTTAGGGTTTTCCCCGCGGATGGGGTACTAAGATGATCCCCCCCCCCCTGTGGTGTGGTTGGGGGTTGCTTTTAGGGTTAGGGTTTAGGTTTAGGGTTCAGGGTTTTAGGGTTTAGGGTTTAAGGTTTAAGACTTAAGGTTTAGGGTTTAGGGTTCGGGTTTAGGTTTTAGGGTTTAGGGTTTAGGGTTTAGGGGTTTAGGGTTTAGGGTTTAGGGTTGAGGGTTTAGGGACCGTAGAGTATACCATGGGGGGGGGGGGGGGGATACCATGGGGGGGGGGGGGGGGGGGGCCCAGGACGCTCGACGCTGAACCATATATATATGTGTGTGTGTGTCTTTTTATTTATTTATTCATACAAAAGTGTGTGTGTGTGTGGGTTGCAGAAGATTACAGATTTGCTGGGCAAGCTCATGAACCCTAAAGCCTCCCCCAAGTAAGCCCTACGGTCAACACCGTCCCCGCAACCCTAGACCCTAAACCCTAAGCCCTAAACCCGAAACCCTAAACCATAAGCCCTAAACCCTAAAGTCCTGCTGAGCCCTAAACCCCAAACCCCAAACCCCAAACCCTAAACCGCCCTGACCCTAAACCCTGAACCCTGAACCCTAAACCCTAAACCCCTCCCCCAAAGCAAGCCCACTAAGGTTAACAGCGTCTCCGCCAAGCCGGTCCGGGGCCGAAGCGGATCACTCCTTGTTCCGCTGATGCTTGGCTTCAGGGCTTTTGGGGTTTTGGGGGTTTAGGTTTAGGGTTTAGGTGTTAGGGTTTAGGGTTTTGGGTTTTGGGTTTTGGTTCATTGCAGGCTTGCGGAAAGGGTCGACGTTCGCGCAGTCAACAACTCTTTTCTTTGGAGACAGGGGTCAACGCCAGCTGTCCGGCGATTTCAGAACACCCCCTGCGCATCCTAGGAACTTGGGATCGTTATAAGACTCTTAGGGTAGTTTCATGGGCCCTGAATATGGCCGCTAACCTCCCCTAAGGGTTCTGATGTATGTGCCCTTAATTTGTATAGGATATGTTACCATTTTTTGGGCCCATACTAAGGGACCATGTAACTACCCTAAGAAAGACAGAGTAAGACTTCCGAGGTTCAGGGGGTCAAGGGTCAGGGGCGCAGCTGCCCTACAGTCCTTTGTGGATTAGGGTTTAGGGTTTAGGGTTTAGGGTTTAGGGTTTAGGGTTTAGGGTGCTCCAAGAGACAAGTGTTTGACTCACCCGTTCCAAACCCCACACCCCGAAACCCCAAACCCCAAACCCCAAACCCTAAACCCTAAACCCCGAACCCTAAACCCCAAGCCCTGAACCCTACACCCTATTTCATGACGACTGTGAGGATGGTTGGCAATGCGGCAGCAGCCGCCTTACAGGCCAAGACTTCGGTGGAGGCCCCTACAGGGTTTAGGGTTTAGGGTTTAGGGTCTAGGGTTAGGGTTTAAGGTTTAGGGTTTAGGGTTTAGGGTTTAGGGTTTAGGGTTTAGGGTTTAGGGTTTCGGGTTTAGGGTTTAGGGTTTAGGGTTTAGGGTTTAGGGTTTAGGGTTTAGGGTTTAGGGTTTAGGGTTTAGGGTTTAGGGTTTAGGGTTTAGGGTTTAGGGGCCGTCGCATCGGGGTAGGAGGCTTTTGCTTGGGAATGTGGGTTTTGGGGGCTTTTAGGGTTTAGGGTTGGGATGTTCCCCCTGATACTAAGAGTCCTTAATGGGATTCTAATAGGGGGTGCAATAATCCCTGTAAAGACTGTTAGTATAAGGGGGAACGTCCCAAGTTTTTGGTTAAGGTTTCGGATTCAGCTCTTAGGGTTTAGGAATCAGGGTTTAGGAGGTGGCGTTTGCGCTTCCGGTCTGACGTCTGACTGCAGGCAGCGCAGTCACGCCGGCATCACGACGCCCTTGAGTTGTCAAGCCAATCACCCTGACCCTTAAAATCCTCAACCCTACGCCCCCCTTGAACATTAAGCCTTTGAAACCTAAGCTCTACATCCTGAGTACGAAGCACAGCTGCTGCAAGCATGCGGCCGAAACATCCTGCACCTGCATACACGGAACCCCGAACCCCCTCAAGCCCCAAACCCTTAAGCCCCAAACCCTCAACCCTCAACCCTAAGCCCTAAGCCCTAAACCCTAAACCCTCAACCCTAAACCCTCAACCCTAAACCCTAAACCCTAAACCCTAATGCTAAACCCTAACCCCTAAAAACCCTAAACCCTAAACCCTAAACCCTAAGTTCCCAACAAAGCCCCCTCAAACCCCCAGAGCAGGTCGCCTGGCTCAGCTCCATGACCCCCCTGGCAGCCAACGGCACGCTCCGCCTGAACCCGCCAAGCCTGGCCATCCAGTCGTAGGGCTTTGCAGGGGTTTAGGGTTTAGGGTTTAGGGTTTAGGGTTTAGGGTTTAGGGTTTAGGGTTTAGGGTTTAGGGTTTAGGGTTTAGGGTTTAGGGTTTAGGGTTTAGGGTTCAGGGTTCAGGGTTTAGGGTTTAGGGTTTAGGGCAGTACGGGGTTGAGGGTTTAGTCTTTTCTGTGGTTACGGTTTAGGATTTCGGGCTTTACGGGGTTGAGGGTTTAGTCTTTTCTGTTGCGCGGTTGCGGTTTAGGGTTTGGGGTTTTGGGGCTAAGACTTCGTGAAGATTTTGCAGTAATTACAGAAGGCTTTTTGTTTTTTGTGTTCTTAGTTCTGGGAAGTTCTTCGTTTTTGGAGCTCTTGCGGGCGTTTGTAGGAGATTAGGTACGCTCGGTTTTTGGCATTTGGGAGTTTTTGTTTACGGTGTTTGAGGAATAGGTGTTTTTGTCTGTGTTAGGGCTTATTTGGGAACCCAAAGCCCTAAACCCTAGTGCTTCAGGTTGGTGCCAGTATTGTTGTTGCCTTTCGCCATTGGGCAGGTGAGCGCTGTACTAGTACTAGGACCGGGAGTAGGGCCCATTTTCCCTTTTTTTAGGGTTTAGGGTTTAGGGTTTAAGGTTTAGGGTTTAGGTTTTTTGTTTTTTTGGGGGGGGGGGGGGGGGGGGGGGGGGGGTTTTGGGGGGGGGTTGGGGGGGGGGTTGGGGGGGGGGTTGGGGGGGGGGGGGGGGGGGGTTTTGGGTGGGGGGGGGTGGGGGGGGGTTGGGGGGGGGGGGGGGGGGTTTGGGGGGGGGGGGGGGGGGGGGGGGGGGGTTGGGGGGGGGGTTGGGGTTCCCTTATAATCCCCTTGAAACCACAAAGCACCCGTTTTGTTCCTAGGTTTCTCCTGGGTCTAGAGTATGAAGGCATGCTCACCGCAAGACCATTTGGCTGACTCGAACACGATTCTGCACTAGGTAGGCCCTTGGGACATTTTATATTTTCCCTTATTGGGTTTAAGAGGGTCATATTCAGGAATATTTTTCAGAGGCGTTTAAGGGCCATCCTAGTGCAGTTTGATTCTTTGTCTTTCAGAAGGTTCAAAGGGCTGAAGTATGGACTCTGTAGGCCTTGAGGAGGTTGCATCTGACGTCAGGGAACCCTAAGCCCTAACCCTAAACCCTAAACCCTAAACCCTAAACCCTAAACCCTAAACCCTAAGCCGCAACATCCTGTTTCGGGCTCTGTGTTCGTGATGGTTGGGGCTCGGGTTGCTCAGGCGTCGATGTGCCCATCGCGGCCCTGAGCATGGAGGCATGCCGGGGGCTCTCCACGTCTCAGAGGGGTTTAGAGTTTAGGGCTTAGGATTTAGGGTTTGGGGTTTAGGGGGTCTCTTGAAGGGTTCAGGGTTTCGGGGTGCAGCCCCATTATACCATAACCCCCAAACCCCAAACCCCAAACCTCAGGGCTTCGGGTTTCCAAAAATCCAAAAGCCCTGGGCACGACCTCGAGCTTAACTCAGAACCAAGACTTAACGACGCCCCGACAACTTCCAAAACCCAAAACCCCTAAATCCGACATCCTGAGGCCTAAATTCTAAACCCTAAGCCCTAAACCCGAAACCCGAACTGGACCCGCCAGGTTTCTTTCCCGGAAGGCTACGACGTGAACTTCACCGGCTCTCTGAAGCAGGCCTCGTGCAGGATAAGGGGACATGGTCCCTGGGTTTAGGGTGTAGGGTTCGGGTTTAGGGTTTAGGGTTTAGGGTTTGGGGTTTGGGGTTTGGGGTTTGGGGTTTAGGGTTTGGGGTTTAGGGTTTAGGGTTCCCTTACGGAGGGTTCTGAAGTGAGGGCCCTTGGATATTGTAGGGTATATGTGGGTATATAAGGGGTCTCCGTTTAGGCGCCCATACTAAGAGTCCATGTAACTACCCTTTGTAAGGGTTGTCAGGCCCTTAGTAGAACAATAGAGGGTAGGAGGGGTAGTCCAGAGGTTCTTCTGATCCAGGTTTCTGCATGTCAGTGTTAGGCGCACCCCCCTGCTGCGCAAGACCAGGTCTCGGGTCCTGAATCCTCCATCTGTGCATGGCTTGAACCTTCTAACAGGAGTTTGCAGTCCAACGCCGCCCGCACGCGCGCGCACACTCAGCGAGCAGTGGGCCCAGATGGTCTGGCGATGCGGTGCCGTCCCCACGTTCAGGCAAACTTCCTCAGGCTGTCAAGCACAGTCATATGCTAAACCTGCTGGAACAAGCTCTAGTTTAACGTCCCTCTCCCAAGAGCCCTCCCACTTGTGGCCGAAACCTGCGTGATCTCCAGCGGAAGAAGCCCCAGAATCAGCGAAGACGGCATCTGTCACGTGCACGCCATTGCGCAGCTGGAAGATTTGGGGTTCTCTTTTGGCAGGTCAGCTTGGAGTTAGGAGCACTATTTGACCTGAACCTTGAGCCTAATCCCTCAGCCTTGAACTCTGAACCCTAAACCCTAAGCCCTAAAACCAAAACGGCCCTAGACCCTATAAACCCTGAACCCATTCCAGCCCAGAGGTGGAGAGCTTTGCGCAGAAGCAGCCCACGGTGGTGAACCACGAGACGGGGGATGAGGTGGTTCACAAGGAGCTTAAGGTTGTGGGCTTCGCGGCTTAGTGTTTACGGTTAGGGCTTAGGGTTTAGGGTGCTGGGGTTTAGGGTGCTACTTGGGGTACATCGGGTTATTGTGGGGCGTTAAGGCTTGCATTTCGGTTTCGAGCTTCGAGTCGTGAATTGAGGGTCAGGTGTATCTGAAACAGATTTTCTTGCTGTTGTTAGTGAGCGTATATAGGGTTCCTTATACATATTGGTGAGTGTACGTATGTTTTGGGTGCTAAACCCTAAACCCTAAAGTCCCTCAAAGGGCACATACTTGGTGGAAAGCAGGTGGCTAAAGTCCCTCCTTCCCTATACTCTAAGAACCAGGAGATCAGTGTTCGGGGTAGGTTGAGCTTCAGGGTTCCGGGTTAACCGTGTGGGGTCTGGGGGTTTAGGGTTTAGGGTTCAGGGTTCAGGGTTCAGGGTTTAGGGTTTAGGGTCTAGGGTTCCTGACCCCCTACCCAAGCAAGAAGCTCGAGCGATTCTTGTGTTGGCCATGGGAGGACTTCGACTTCGCATCCATGCCTCCACCATCGAAGACGTTCGGGCCTTTCAGTGGCTGCAGGGTTAAGGGTTGGGGGTTTAGGGTGTAGGATTTAGAGACCATAAACCTTAAACCCTAAACCCCAAACCCAGAACCCTAAACCCTAAACCCTAAACCGAAAACCCTAAACCCTAAACCCGTCCCCCTCCCCTGACTGAGGCAGTCAAAGAACATGGGCGTGCGGTCGAAGGTGCCGCGCAGTGGTCAGCGCTGGCGGCTTCTCGGCGGAGCGCTGCAATCCTAGAGCTCTAAACCCAGGGGTTCAGGGTTGTTGGGTTTAGGGTTTAGGGTTTAGGGTTTGGGGTTTAGGGTTTAGGGTTTAGGGTTTAGGGTTTAGGGTTTAGGGTTTAGGTAAACTCCCTAAATACAAGGGCTTAGGGTTCAGGGTTTAGGGTTTAGGGTTTCCTAGACCCCCCCCCCACTACCGTTCATTTGCGTTAGAGATCAGGGCCTAAATCGCACGCACTTTGGCAACCCTGTGAGATCTGCTAAGTGGCTTAGTACATGTTCATCCTAGTTCATGTGTTGCTGATAAGGCTTAGTCTTTTTTGTATTTGGGGTTTGGGGTTACGGTTGAATAAAAGGGGGGAGAGAAGGGATTGAACCTGTGGGGTTTAGTACCTATGGTTGAGGGGCTAGGGTAGACCCCTAAGCCCTACACTCCCAAGAATGCTTTGCTCTCTTAGGGTCTGAGATCTGTGTTGAGGTGTTCCCCTCAAAAACGGAAGGAACCATAGAGGTATAACTCGAGAGAATTCTGCAGCGCTTGTAGTGGTAGTATTCTCCCCCCCCACGCCCGCCCCCCAAAGGCATGTATAGGGTTCTTAAGGGAGGGGGGTTGAAGCGGGTATGCAGCCGAAGGTTCCCTTTTACTCCCCACTACTCCCCAAGGCTCCCTGAGCTTCCCTACAAAGCATTCATGGCCTCGCGAGTTTCGTTCCTTTTCGTTCGGAGGTTCGAGCAGCTGCTGGTCGTTGATGGGAGCGCACATCTGGAGCTGGTAGCCGGTTTGGGATTCAGTCTTGTTGTCTAGTGTTAGGGTTAGGTGTGGGGTTGTGGGTTTGGGGGGTTTAGTGTTTATAAGGGTTTAGGGGGAGGAGGGGGGGCTGGGGTTGGGGGGGGTGATGGGTTCAGGCTGCAAGGAATTTCTGCGGTGCGGCCGGATGGCGGTTTCTGCGAAGATCAGGAGGAGTCGAGCCCTCTTCCTTGCATGCCATCCAAGGAAAGAGTCCTTTAGCCTCACGCGAGTCTTGCTATGTGACACCCCCAAGAGCTCAAAAAACCCTTTACAACTTCCAAGTCTTGTGTAAAATCTCGGCCAGCGTTTGCCCTGTCTCACTCAGGCTAGGGGTTAAGGGTTTAGGGCTCATGGCTTGAAGTTCGTTTTGGTGTAATTAGGGGCTGTCTGCGGCGAAGTTGTTAGGTGTTTTTGGGTGTTTTGGGGCTTAGAATCTCGGGGCTGTGATTTTTTTGCAGCATGGACCATCAGGCATACCAGATTCCCAAAGAGAACAGCAGCTGGAACACCTACTTCTCAAAGTTTTGGTCGCTCGGCCCTTTTGGTGCTGGGGGGTGTGGGGCTTGGGGTACGAGTGTTGAGCGGATCTTTGACTACAGGACGTCTCAAACAGGCCAAGAATCTGCGGCCAGTATTGGGTTCATTCCAGGTGATTGATGTAGCAGCCTGATACTGGTGGCCTCTTCAGAAGAGTATCAGAAAAGAAACGCATGCCTATTCCAGACAGCAGGGTTCAGCTTTATACATATATATATATAGAGTAGAAAACCCAACTGGCATAGAAAATTAACATTATAAACATATAGTGACAAATCACTATAGTATATTTCTGACATTGCGAGGATTGTCTGAAGACCAACCCATCAAGCCAACATGCCGCGAATCTGATTGAGGGTGTATATAGACACCTCGATGCGAGTTAGGACAGCTTCATGATAGAACTTCTGCTTCCCTTGCACAGCTCGGTACTAGTTCCCTGAAAGCCTGAACTTAATTCGCAGCATCATGGCCGAGGACTGCATCGTGAGCGTGATGAGACACCTCCTGGCGCGGCCCTGTACAGATGAGCCGCGCATGTGGGGCTGGCTTGCTACGTTGCAGCAGGTCTGGTGGTGGTGGCTGCAGCTATGCTTGCTGCAACTGCTGCTGCCCATTATTACAGTCTGCTGACGTCAGTTTTGAAATCGTCAGATTTCTGTAAAGCATCATGCGATGTGCCGTTTAGTTACACATAGCTTTCGCCATTTTTGCGGCATGCGCTGCTCTGTGGTGCATTGAAGTGCCCGAAAGTTTGACGCTCGAAGCTAAAGCACCTGCCATGCGTTGGCACAGACTCGGCCCTTTGTGGGCCTAGCAAAATCTGCACTCTTGTGATTTGAGTTCAGGAGGTGTGTATGATAGTGGTTACAGTAATCGGCCTTCCCCAGAGGACATTCGACATTCGAGTTCTTGGGCTGTAGGGAAGTGGAGAGATGAGAACTCACAAGGCCCCCATGATAACCTGCCAGTGATTGGGCTCTGTGGTTTCATCCTATGGAGACTCCAAGCCCTACATGAAACCCTACAAGCCCCCATGAATCGTCTAGAACCCCCAATCACGAAAGCTGGCCTGAGAGGGCTAGCGGAGTTACTTAAAAACGAAATGCGATAGCGTCCTGGCATTTTTTTTGGGGGGGGGGGGGGGGTGTAGTGAGTGGGGCAGGGGTGTCGAGCCCCGAAATGATGCATCCCGGAGGGAGGCCATGGGCCGCTATGGCCCATGTGCCAGGGTTTAGGGTTTAGGGTTTAGGGTTTAGGCCCTCGTGTTCATCATTGTTGTTGTTACCTTCGGCTCTAGGCACTGGGCTCTTGGGGCTCAGGATTCGTCGTGGAGTTGAAGTTGCAGCTCTTGTGTGCTAAACCCCAAGTCCAAAATCCCTGAAAAACCTTGAAGTTCAAGGTCTGACAAACCTGCCTCCAGGGGTTAGGGAAAGTGCCCGAAGCTCCGAACCAACGCCAGCCCCGAATGGTCCATGAAGCCCGAAACCCTGAACCCTAAACCCAAAGAAGGGTTTGGGGTTTGGGGTTTGGGGTTTAGGGTTTAGGGTTTAGGGTTTAGGGTTTAGGGTTTAGGGTTTAATTCCCCTACAGATTACAGAAACATAGGTTGCACCGGCAGACCTCAGACCTACTGCACTGTTAAGAACTCAGCTCGTCTCAACTCTCGGCAATAGGTTGTGTCACAGGCTATAGACTGCGGAAACACTCTAAACCCTAAACCCGAAATCCTAAACCCTAAGCCTTAAACCCTAAACCCTACATCCTAATGAACGACCAGTCCTGGCACTGAAACCAGCCCTCACAAGCTGGTTTGGGCGGCCGTATCATCCACCTGAAGCCTGCAAAGGGTTTAGGGTTTCGGGTTCAGGCCCTAGTATGGTTTAGGGATTTAGGGATTTAGGGATTAGGGGTTAGGGGTTAGGGTTTAGGGTTTAGGGTTTAGGGTTTAGGGTTTAGGGATGCCCTAAACCCTAAACTCCGAAAACTCCTGGGCCCAACACCTGCACCCCCTCAACCCCCAAGTCTTCAACCCAAAGGCCCCCCCCCCCCCCCCCCCCCCCGCACCCAAGGTACCCTGATGATGCCCGTGGAACTACGCCGGGGCGAGCTCCGGCGACAGAAAGGCACGAGCCTACAGGGTTGGGTGTGGGTGTAGGGCTTCAGGGTAGGGCTTGGGGAGGTGGGCGGGGGTTGGGTGTTGAGGTTTGGAGTTGGAGACTTTGGCTCAGAGGTTCCCCTATCTCAGAGCCCAAGCCGGCAAAAGGACCAACTTTTCTTCCATATTCAGGGAGTTCAGGTAACCCCTAAACCGAAAACCCCTTCAGAAACCCCGTAATGTAAGGAAGTCGGCTCGCCAGTTCCGGGGCATCGACCGCAATCGAGATGCCCGAAAGACCTAAAACCCGAGAAGCCCCTAAAACCCTAGAACCCGAAGCCAGGCTGGGGTGTAGGGTTTCGGGGTTTAGGTTGTAGGGTTGTAGGGTTTAGGGTGTAGGGTTTAGGGTTTCGGGGTTTAGGGAGTGGTTTAAGGTTAGGGTTTAGGGTATTTCCGGAGAAACCATGCTTTAGAGCCTTTGCTAGGCACAAAAGCAACATGCGCAGGCTTCGACTGCCAGTGCAAGCGATGCACGCTCGAAGCCGAAGTGGTGCAGCTTGGCTTTGCAGGCGCCGGCTGCTTCTAAACCCTCAACCCTCAACCCTCAACCCTAAACCCTAAACCCTAAACGCTAAGCCCGCATATGTAGACCTTGAAGGCAACGTTTAGGGGTTTTGGGGCTTTTGGAGCCCTCAGAAAGGTTCCCCGGCGCGCCCCAGCCTGGCCCACGGCCCCAAAAAGTTTTGTCAGCTTGCCCCCCCCCCGGGGCCCCCAAACCCTAAACCCTGAACCCTGAACCCTGAACCCTCAACCCTAAACCCTAAACCCAAAACCCTAAACCCTAAACCCTGGACTGGGATTTTCTAGGACCCTGCAACTTCCTCAGCCCTCCTCACCATTTTCCTGATACTTTCTCCTGACAAGCCAACTCCCTGCACGGTTCGGACCCTGGGACCCTGACAGACCCTGCCATCAAACGGCCACCTGGGGTTTAGGGTTTAGGGTTTAGGGTTTAGGGGTTAGGGGTTAGGGGTTTAGGGGTTTAGGGTTTAGGGTTGTAACCTGGGGTCTAAGTCAAGTGTGTTCTGAAGGAAGCCCTTCAACCCCTGACGGAGGAAGGTTTTTGTAAGCACGCATGCAGGTAGTGCCGAGTCAAGTAAGAAAAGTGGACATAAACGTCAAATGAAAAGTGATTCTGGGAGGGTGGGGTGATACCAAACACAGTGATGTAAAGGGGCCTGACGAATCGCCTGCCCAGGCCAATCGTAAACCCTAAACCCACCCTAAACCCTAAACCCGGAGCCTCCGTTTCTCCTACATGGCCAAGGGATTTAGCCCTCGCAAAAGGCAAAAAACGCCAAGATGTCGAGCTTAGGCCGAAGGACTTGGCCCAGCGGCTCCTCCACGTGCAGCAGCGCGCTGCCAAGTTGGTACCCGGGCGTACAAGGCTTGGGGCTCCAGGAATTCTAGGGTTTAGGGTTTAGGGTTTAGGGTTTAGCGCTGGTGGTGTGGTTTGGGATTCTGGTGGCAGGGTTTAGGGTTAAGCCCGAATGCAGCCTCATGTAGGGTTTAAGGTGGGGGGTTTGGGGCTCTGGCACTTTCACGGTTTAGGGTTTTCAGGGCTGAGGAGTATACAGCCGAGTTGGGGGTTTGGTTTTTTTGGGGGGGCGCCCTCTTTGCACCCAGCGAGTAAAGCTGGGGGGCTTGAGAGCCGTGCTGTAGCCTCGTTTTGAGGGTTTCTGGTTCTGGTCAGGAGCCCTGGCCCTGAACCCTGTAGCTTGGGATCTTCCCCCTTATGCTAACAGTCCGTAATAGGGATTCGAGTACCCCTAGCATAATCCCTATGAAGGACTGTTACATCCTAAACCGTAAACCCTAAACCCTAAACCCTAAACCCTCAACATCCCAACCGGTAGCTGCCAAGGAGCTGAAGCCTGAGGATCTCCTGGCTGCCTTGGACGAGGCAGCGGGGCCGCTGAACATGATCCGGTACAGGTCGGTCTCTGCCCTTTTCTTACCGGGGCTTAGTAGGGAATGAGGGAATGAGGTACCCTATACCGCCCTATATATCTAAAATCTATATATATTTTTTTTCCCAAGAAGGGATTATGTAGGGTACCTCATTCCCCCATCCCTACTAACCCGCACGAAGTTTTGGCGCCTTGAGCTCTCAGGGGTATACTTTGGGATGTTCCGCCTGTTTTGGAGATTCTTTGTTCGGGATACTACAATCCCTCTTAAGGACTAGTATCAGCGGGAACATCCCAAGGTATGCTCTAATCCAGATCCCAAATTGCCACATGCGTAGCAGTCGAAATCTGAAACCCAAGGCCTTCACCTGTGCTTTTGCTGCCCTAAACCCTAAACCCTAAACCCTAAACCCTAAACCCTAAACCCTAAACCCTAAACCCTAAACCCTAAACCCTAAACCCTAAACCCTAAACCCTAAACCCTAAACCTAACCCTAAACCCTAAACCCTAAACCCTAAACCCTAAACCCTAAACCCTAAACCCTAAACCCTAAACCCTAAACCCTAAACCCTAAACCCTAAACCCTAAACCCTAAACCCCAACCCCTAAACCCCTAAACCCCAACCCCTAACCCCTAAACCCTAAACCCTAAAACCCGAACCTCATGTCCCTCCCACCCTGGCCTTTCGCCTTTAGCGGAGGTGGCTGCCATCACTCGCTCGGGTCCCAGTGATGTTCAAGGCACGTGAAACACTTAATGGAGGAAGTTGAAGACCCTAAACCCTAAACCCCAAACCCCAAACCCTAAACCCTAAACCCTAAACCCCAAACGGGCTTGCCTTACTCAAGCTCATCTTCGCCTTTCTCAGGTCGAGAGATCAGTGCCTGCGCGTCGCGCTGGGCAGAGGCCACGCCTGGTACCGACGCTGCTTGCGTGACCGAGGTCGGGCAAGACAGGTCCAAGCCCTGAACCCTAAAAGCTGAACCCTACACGTATAGCCTCTGTTTGTCTCTCTTTACTTAATGTATATAAGACCCAACAAGGGGAGTATAGACCTTAAACTTCATCCTTGTTAAGCACTTGATAAAGCTTCGAGCAGCTCAGAGCGGCCCAAATGGAGCCTCATGGATTTAGAGTTCCTTGCGCTTAAGGGTGTCAGGGCCGACTGCCACTTCGGGCTTCTAAACATGGTCTCGTATAGGGTTTAGGGTTTAGGGATTGGGGTTTAGGGTTTAGGGTTTAGGGTTTCGGGGTTTAATGAATGGTTTAGACCGCCTAAGGCCTAAGGGTTTGGATTTTCCGGGCGTAGAGCTGGGGATCGAGCTTGTTTTTGAGAACTTCTGCAGGCTCTACTGGCCAGCTACGCCTCGGTGTTCGTGGCGCGCGCCATGGCCACGGAACAGGCCTATTGTCCCCAACT